GATAGATAGATAGATAGATAGATAGATAGATGATAGATAGAGATAGAGATAGATAGATAATAGATAGATAGATAATAGATAGATAGATAGATAGATAATAGATAGATGATAGATAGATAGAGATATAGATAGATAGATAGATAATAGATAGATAATAGATAGATAGATAATAGATAGATAGATAGATAGATAGATAGATAGATAGAGAGAGAGAGAGAGAGAGAGAGAGAGAGATGTGGCTTTAGCATAGCTTCCTCAACCTTGTTTTGGAGGCATCCAACAGTGGTAGTATGCTACCGGTTTGGACAGGTTCAGCTGAACCGGTAGTAAAAAAAAACCCTCCCAAGATCAGCTGAGAGGAGAAAGAAGAGAAAAGTCCAGGATCGGCCCTCCCACCCCTCCCCTGCACTTTTCTCTTCTTTATCCTCTCAGCTGATTGGCGCTGCAGGCCTCAGCTGGTGTGGGGAAAGCTGAGCGCATACATCAGATGCACCTGCATGCGATCACTGAAATGGTAGCGGAACAGGTAGGATCCCACTGCTGGTCAGAAACCCCTTGCTGATAATTCTCTCCTTTTTGCTTCTAGTCAAATATATCAATGGTGTCTCCTTTAATGTTTCTTTATTTTTATTTTTTGTTAGCTTATCTGGATTGTGACTTTCCTGGCTGCCCTTCTACTGGGACTGGATCTTGGCTTAGCTGCCGGCCTTGGATTTGAGCTGCTGACGGTTGTATTCCGGGTTCAGTTGTGAGTAAATACTTATTTCATTTTGTCGGCTCAGCTTCCCGAAGCGAATTAAAGATATAAAGTATTTTGAACGGAGGTGAAATCTTTTACCAACCACATTATGTTCCTTTTTTCTTTTTGTGGCCACAAATACACTACAGACAATATGCAGAACAATACACATGCCATATATTTCTACTTGGAATGACACTATAGTACAGTGATGGTGAACCTTTTGGACACTGAGTGCCCATACTGGAGCGTATGCATGCGTGCGCAGGGTGGGCTTCAAAAATTTTAACTACGGGTTCTCTGCCTAGTTGCTGGGTGGGCATGGCCATGGTGGGCATGGCCTAATTGGCCTCCTGCACCAGAAGGGGGGCAGTTTTTCCCTCCGGAGGCTTTCCTTGAGCCTCCGGGAGGGTGAAAATGGCCTCCCTGGACTCCGGAGGCTCTCTGGAAGCTGGAAATGGGCCCATTTCTGGCCTCCCTGTACTTCCAGGAAGCTCGTTTTTCGCCATTCCCGAGCCTCCGTAAGCACCCTGCACTTACCTGCATCCAAAATGGTGATTCCTGGGAGGGGAAAGGAGGGGTGGGCAGGGCAGGGGTGGGATTCTACCAGTTTGCACCTATTCGCTAGAACTGGTTGTTAACATTCTAAGCAGTTCGGAGAACCGGTTGTTACAAGAAATTACTGGCCTAATCCTGTAAGGAAGGCAGGAAGGATACATTCTGGTGTTGCTTACAGAAACTGCCTCTTCGTTAACCCTTATTACATTCTTGGCAGGACTAGACTTCCTGTCTCAGGAAAGTCTCTGGAGTTTTTTCCCCCTCCTTTGCTGGTACTTTGCTTGTGTGGAGTGACCATTCAAAGTTACAAAAGCACTGAAAGAAGTGACTTATGACCCTTTTTCACACTTACGACTGTTGCAGCATCCCCACAGTCACGAGAGGCCAGGTGAGGAGATGCGTGCCTCAATGTGAGTGATGTTGAGTTGGCCACGCCCAGCCAGCCACATGACCACCAAGCCATGTCCACCCAGTCACATGACCACCAAGCCATGCCCACCAACTAAGCCACGCCCACAGAACTGGTTGTTCAAAAATTTGAATCCCACCCCTGGGGCAAGGCCAGCCAGGAGTGGGATTTGGGGGTGCTACAAACTGCACCACATCTTAGCTAGGGGTTCTCCTGAACCCTTGCAAACCCGCAGCAACCCACTCCTGTGTGCGCATGTTGGAGTGCTGGAAAACCAAAAACCAGCTGGCCAGTGCATGCTTGCTTGTTTTTTGGCCATTTTCAGGCCATTTTTCAGGCTGTTTTCAGGCCGTTTTCCAAAACATGCGCACCAGAAACCAGAAGAGCAGCTGGCGACGGCGTGCATGTCGCCATCACAGCTATAGTGTCTCTAAGGAGGTATCCCTCGTGGTGCTACCATGGTGTACCAAGCCTGCCTTCTTTTGTACTTGGTACAAGTAATCCTCGTTCAATGAACGATTGCTTAGCAACCGTTCAAGGTTAACACAGATTCCCCCCTAAAAGTACTTATGATTTAGATTTAAAAGTTCTTACTGTCAACTCCTAAAATATTTCTCAGGTCTTTTTTAGAGTTGCCAACAGAAAGTGAAGGGGGGAGCAGTGCGGCAGCTTGCAAAACCGAAAGTGCATTCCATAAATGTTTTCAGAGATAGTAACTAGGTGACTGAAGTTTCTGCTGCAGAAAATTCTAATTGGAGAGCATGATTGATGACTCTTGGCTATGAAGGTGTCCCATTGGAGAATATGAATTATAATACACCCAGGGGGTGGGGGAAAATCAGGGTCAAAGATAATAATGAATTATGTGCCTCAGAGTCAGCTACACCCAGGCAGTGCCGGCATGTTAACTCCCAATAAATCCTTTTGAAGTTTTGGAAGTTTGGCTCAAGACTCATGATTTAAATGGGGGTAACTGCCGGAATCCAGACAGTTACAAACAGTCCCCGGTTGCATTTGGGCTGCTTAGCAAACTGGCTCACATTTATGGCCATTTGCAATATTCTGTGGTCATTGATTGCTTCTTCTTTTGGGGGGGAGGCCAGAAATTAATGTTTTTTTCCAGCAAAAAATCCATTACAAACCAGGGAGACTGCTAGAAATTGCCTACAGAATGTCAATGTTGTAATTGACCTGTTACCAAGATTTAACAACTCTCTCTCTGTCTCTCTCTATTTGCTGGAAGGCAGCAATTTGAATCCAGCAAAGAATATTCCCACATTCTAAACGAGACTGAAGCTTAAGGGATAAATACAGATATAAGCAAAGGTCCACATCACTATAAGAATAACAGTTGGTCCCATTTATTCTGCATTAATCAGCTCATTTGCCTCTTCTCTTTTCAGTCCAAAATGCATACTTTTGGCTAACATTGGAAGGAATGATATCTACAGAAACAGAAAAGACTACTCAGATGTAAGAATTTGACTTTGTATTGGAGTAATTTAACACAAGTGGTGCGAGGGGCTAGAGGTGGAGCTCTCGTCTCACAATCAGGAGGCTGCGAGTTCGATTCTAGGTAGAGGCTGATATTTCACTCTCTGGGCACACTGAGAATATATCTGCTGAACAAAACCCCACTCTGGTGACAGGAAGGGCATCCGGCCAGTAAACACTAGGCTCCATTCATTTGCTCCGACTCCACCCCGCAAGGCATTATGGGAGTCATTAAACGACAGGGGGGTGGAAATTGGAGTAATTTAACATGCACAATTTTTGCAGCGGAGTGTCACAAAAAATTAACGAGGGATATTTTTTCTGTCTAGATATATGAGCTGGAAGGAGTGAAAATTTTCAGGTGCCCGTCTCCGATCTTCTTTGCCAATGTTGATTTCTTCAAGGAAAAATTGACTGCTGCGGTAAGCATTTCGTAAGCCATAATTTTAACAGAAATGACTTCCCATAAAACTTGTAAATTTATATATACATATATACATATATACATATATACATACATACATAAATACATACATACATACATACATACATACATATATACATATATACATACATACATAAATATATATACATATATACATACATACATACATACATACATATATACATATATACATACATACATACATACATATATACATACATACATACACATATACTGTATATATGTATGTTTTCTGAGGTTCTCGCGGGTATTTGTATGTGGATCTTTGGTTATTCGAGTTTTCTCCCGCGTAAAATTGGAAGTATCTAGGCAACGTTTCGATGAAGTTTCATTCATTATCTTCAGGCTTGTGTCTTCGGCTTTGTGCTTCTCGGAGTAATGTGAGCTTGCAGCTGCTTCTTCCTTTTAACTGCTAGTGGGGGTGTGATTTGATTGGGTGGGGGCTTGGCTGTGCTCTGATTGGGTGGGGGTGTGTTCTCATTGGT